CGGTGTCTGTAAATTTATAATTATTACATTGATAGTGCTCGTTAGAAGTGCTGGACATGGTGGAGCGGTCATCATCATCACCATTGCTATAGGCACTGTGATCGCTACCGGCCGATGCCACTGACATGTTTTCATCTGTAAAAAAAATTATGAAGAAGATCGCATTGTTTTTTTTCCTTTAAACCAATGGAAAAATGTAAACCTTAGCACTGAGCTGCAGTGGGGGTATGAACCGATAAGGCTTACATTATTTTCAACTGGATGAAGAGCTGCGGTAACGAACCAGAGAAAGCAATACGGGTCACTATTTCTAATGTTCACAACTACTTTTTTATTTTGCACATCCTTTGGTAGTTTGATGAAGATAGACAGGCCACCGTGTATTGGAATATATTTGTTGATGTTCACCATCAAGTTTATAATTTCAAGCAATTACCAGCCTGATTCCCTCTCTTGAAAGTCTTCAATTTTAGTCAGTATTTTTTTCTGCACATTTGTGTTGAACCAGTCGCTGATATCGGTGGATGGTAAAATAAATTTATTCTTAGTATTAAAGAACTTTATTTCTTCGACAATCTCAGCAACTTTCATAGTCTTGAACTTACAGGACAAAACGACGTATACTTTCAAATTTCCCTCCTTTCGAAGTGCGTTTTTCACTCTAGCAATGAAAATCTTCTGGCATCATGCAGGAAACGCTTCAAGTCCTTGTGTTGCAAATTTGCAATCACTCCAGTCCTTATTCTCCCACTAAAGGCGGATTCCAAGTCATCCCAACGTACTCTATCACTTCTTCTCTCTCTCACCGTTCCTTCACCTTTTTTTTTAAGTTGTTATTTAAATTTTTCGTTCAGCGATTTAAGTATTCCAATGGTTGTCAAGATTTTGGTTTTCTCCCCAGTCGTAAGTGCAACGTTCCTCAGAATTTTGTTTAGAAGTCGAATATTTTGAGTAACAAATTTTGTCCATTTCTCAATTTCTGCAATCGATAATTCCTTCTTCAGAAGTTTATATGCTCCTCAAATAATCTCTATCAACTTTTTACACTTTGCAGAATCCATTTTGTTGACATCAAAAATTCACTTAAGCTCTTGAATAACAATGATCGCTGCGCATCATCGAAGGGCCTCTTACACGAAGCTTTCAACGTTTTCCTGGAATTGTTTTGCATCAGTTCGAGCGATAAGACACCTACACGAATTGCGCACTTTGAGCTCGAACTCCGCATCAAAAACTTTTCGACGCGCATTCGGAAGTGCACAAAGGGTCGCTTATCTTCTGCGAGTAATTCGATACTCTGAATAACAAGGTCAAAACAGTGTCCGGCTGCCGCCTGAAGTCTGCATGGGGGTCGGAGGAGTCATCGAAAGCTTCGGGGCGGGGAGCTGCAATTTGAAACCTGCACGGTGACTTTCTGGAATCGAATACCTGACGAGAGCCGACAAATTTCCTGGAATCGATGTTGCTGCTGCATCCTCGATGCACAATTCTGTGAGATAACGTTCAAGGTCAAATCGGTTGAAGGCTGCCGTCTGAAATTTACACGGGTCGGGAAGGGAGGAAGGGCGTTCCACAAAGCTTCTTGAAACCTCTACGGGGTGGGGGGCAAGGGGTTACATCAAAACATTGCGCGAGAGGACCGTCGGCTCTGGGAACGATCCTCCGCGACTTAGCACGGACACGAACCATCGAAGCTTCTAGAAGGTTCTAGAAGGTTCTCGATCGTATGTAATTCCTATAATCAAGCGCAAAAGTCCCGGAATGTGACACAAAACTCCCGGAATCGAGCGAAAATTCTTAGAATCGAGGGGTCTTGATGACGTCACGTCCGGAAATTGTGGGCGCACACGTTGCCAACTTAGCACGGACACCCACCTTTGAAGGTTCTCGAGTGTCGGTATATGTCGGTGCAGGAATCTGTATCCAGAACCGGTCCAGCTATAATACTCTAAATCATCCTGTATATTGAATCTTAGATGTCGGTATTCATAATAAGCACTTAGGACAAAGTATAGTTTTAAGATTGAAGATATATATTATAACGAGTTGCCTGGATCTCCTCATTGTAATTATTTCACTTGGGTCGCCAGGGAACACTGAAGGTTCGGAATTTTCGAAAAATTAGGAGTTCTGATCGGGAATCCACCCCGATACCTACGAATTACCAAGTCAAGGCACTTACTATTATTATGCCACAGAACCCACTGTCCATCCTAATAAGCCCTGAAGCTCCTTTTAGGACTCGTTTTGGGGCTCAGAACAAATTTGACAATCTTACGCAACATGTATATTTTATACAGGGTGGACTAATAACTTTGTCCACCTGGAATATTTCTGTTATTTGTAATAATTAAAAAAAAATTTTCATAGATAATTCGTACGGCACCGAGGGGGACATAATGTGATATTGTTTTTGCGAGTGTGGGGGCGTAAATGAGTTTTCAAGGTCATTTTCACTTTTTTAAATGGGATGCTACATTTTCTTCGTCGCTATGTGATAACCAGTGTCGAGGAAATTTCAGCAAGCTACTATCAATGTCATTTAAGTTCAAATGTGGTAGTAAAATAAACTTAAATTACATCAGTTGTTCAAAGTGTCGACTATTTGCGTCAATGCAAAGCTGCAATCTTTGTATCGCTGAATCACTTGCACATCTTATCGCATCGATATCTATTTTAGTACATGCTGCAGTAATGCGTTGTCTCATATTTTCTGGTGTAGTATAGTCACGCAAATGGTCGACACTTTGAACATCTGATGTAATGTAAGTTTATTTCGCTACCACACTTGAACCTAAATGACATTGATAGTAGCTTGCTGAAATCGCCTCAACACTGCTTATCACATAGCGACGAAGAAAATGTAGCATCCCATTTAAAAAAGTGAAAATGATCATGAAAACTTCTTTACATCCTTACCCTCGCGAAAAATAATAACATCACATTTTGTCCCCCTCCATACAGTACAAGTTTTGTATGAAACATTTTTTGAAATTATTACAAATAACAGAAATATTCCAGGTGGTCGAAGTTATTTGTCCACCCTGTATATGTATACATTTTTGGAAAAAAAACAGACTAAAAAATTAGTGTGGAAGCAGATATCAGACAATGGTTTATGACTTCGGAGAATGAATTAAGCATGCGGGATAGATGTATGATAGAAGGCATGAATGAAGGTGAGAAAAAGAAAATGATGGAAAGAAAAGAGCGAAAGGATGTGCGATCAGTACGTGTCTGTAGTTTGAAGAAATAAATTGGGTGTTTCCATTAAAATGTCATTATCCTTCGACATTGATTCTGATCCTACATTAGTAATGTTCATTTTCTATTAAACCATTCTCTAATGCATATACAAATATTTCAGACAATATTATACCACGTAGGAATAACATGTTTCAACACCTTAAACAAAGATCGAACCCACTCTAGAAAGCATTTCTACTATTCTGTAATTCACTAATATTTGTTCAAGTTATCTCTAGTCGTTTCTTATTTATTTAGTTACTTTTAAATTCCTATTATCGAAAAAGTCTGCACCATTCTTTTCGGCTTTCGGCGGATTTGGCTAATATTGTGATATGTTGTAACTTATGAACTTTTGATCAATCAACCTTTGCCACAAAAATAAAAATTGACATTTTGTCCGTTATTAGTGGCGAAAATTGTCATTTGGTTGCACAAAGAATCCATGAAATAGCATAATTTTAACATTTACTGGACGGCTAAAAATATTACATTATAAATACTGTATATGACTACTCAACTCCTAGCCTAATACTATGTGTTGCCATCTGTGATAAGAGTCTCTAAGCAACGCAGAAATATGCGAGAAGCCCGAGCATGCACTAATTCACTGTCGCACCACCAGGTGGCCACCGCAACTCGCAATAGAATCATCAGTTTTGACAGTTTTAAATAATATTCGTTACGCACTTTAGAACAGGCAGTTGCAATAAGAACATCTTAAATACATTCCGCCCCGCTATGGCGAAGATATTTAAGAAAATATTGTTTAGGCCAAGAATTGAGTTTAATGACGAAATTTGTTAGGTTAGGTTAGGTTAGATCAGGTGTAATAGAATTACATAAAAATTATTTATTATCGTATTGCTTATATTATTTAAAATTTAAAGTCAAGTCACGATGACCTACTTCCGAATGACCATTAGATGATGACTCGTATGGTATGTGACTCATTTGTGTTAAACTGGGTCTATGCGGGGTGATACCCAGCTGCGCACAAACCCAATTGGACACAAATGTGAACTTCTGTCTCCTGAGCGATCTTCTATCAGTAATTCAACGATATTGTAATAAGTAATTTGACGGAACCTCGTCAAACATTTAAAGCTCTCTTCAGTCGGAAGATGTACTCATATTTACCCACTTACAATATACTCATTCACTAACTTACTATGTCTCTGAATTTTGAACATTCCACCCTATCCTAACCTTACCTAACCAAATCTAGTGTAAACTAACGTTAAACGACATACAATATAATATAATAAGATATCGTTTGTACCTAATTCTATTCATAAAAAGTCATTTGTGTTCAATTGGTCTATGCGCCAGTGCATCTCGCCCCCCTCACGTCTGTGCGTATCTACCTGGATAGTATTCCGTTCATGATACATCTATGGCAGGACGGAATATAATTGAGATGTTTGGATTGTAACTACACGTAATGTAATATTTTTGGCAACTCTGTAAATTAAAAGCGTGCTATTCCATGGGTTCTTTGTGCAACCAAATCACAATTTTCACTACTAGTAATGAATAAACTGTTCATTTTTCTAGTATTATGGCAATACTAACTTTAGATCAAGAGTTCATGTACAACAAAATATCATAGAATCAGCCAAATCCGCCAAAATCCAGTTTCTCATAAGATTGGTACAGGGTCCGTTAAAGGGCTGAACAGTCACGGCCACCTACATACCAAAACCTTATAAGTTTAAGAATATTATATGATTATTTAATATTCATTAGTATACCTCTATTCCAGATTTAGTGTAAACGTTTCCCTCGAGATGCCGAGTATCTTCCTCTTCGGAACTCTCATCAGATGAATACTTTGGTTTTGGAGTTTGCGGTGGCTCCTTTTGCGGAGGATGATCATCATGTTCCTCGCTAACCTCGCGAAGTATTCCTGGGGTCTTAGGAGGCGACGGAGCCTTTTTTCGTAGAGACTTTTTCATGGACGATCTGAAAACATTATTTTTCAAAATTATTGTCATCTACCAATAAGTGCTGGACAATGTCAAGGTATGTATATCCCTTTTAGTGCCGGGCGAAAAACCGGTGCCTATGCGAGAATAACCGGACGAATTTGACTAATTTTACAACGGGTTGGGAAAAAGGTCATAAAAACCAAACTAAAAATGATAATTAGGAAGGAAGAGAGAATAATGTAATGCTAATTGTATTTCAACATTTATTTTGAGATAGAGCTTTCTCGCGATGCGAAGAATAAGGTGCCATCGCATACGCAACGATATATCGTCGTCCGGCACTAAAAGGGATATGCTGTAATCATAGCATCATCATATGTTTTGTAACGTAATTCTTTTCCTTGACCCGACACCGATAGCAAAACACACGAGAACGAACTATCTTCGAGAACCAACCTACGTTACCTTTGGCCGTCCACCCGTCGTTCGTGCATCCGCAAGCCAGGAGGGCGCCAGCCAATTCTTTTTTCACCGGGAACTGACGAGTCGGTATAAACTGGGAGTTGGGGTTGAACAGGCCCAACTCCACCAAGAACGAGAACTCTGACGGAACCTATCAGACGAGGCGATAACTTAACGGATCCTGTCGATTTTTGGGGACGCGTAAAATCGAGAAACGCAACCGTAGGTGCTGAGAGGCCGAGAACTGTATCCAAAGGACACTCTGGGGAGCACTGCACTAAGGCACAGCACTACACCTCCGGAACACTCACAGGAATTCATAGAATTGCCTGAATATCGCGAGAACAATGCGAGAACTGTACGAGTCGAGAACTTGCTATACCGTAGCGAAACACGGCAAGAAAACTTAAACAGATAGCACGGGAGCACGAGCCAGCCCGTGATACCTCGGCCGGTGCCCCAAGACAGACTGCTTTGACAATAGCCAAATCCGAGAACTAATCATTCTGATTCTGCCATCCATTTGATTCCTTTTAGAGCACACAACGCAGTCCCTCTTTGCAGGTTTTCTCATTACGTGAAGTTTTCCATTTAATCTGATATCAGAAATTGATGTAGAAACTCTTCTTCTATCGTGACGAAAATAGTCAAATACATCATCAGTATCACTCAGCCCTAAATTCTCATCATAATATTTTTTTATTCTCCATGTTGCTAATTATAGAAATGGGCAAAAAATGTTTTAATCGTAATGTTACACACGCTAAGCACGTTTTCACTATAAATGATAATTGCCAACGTCGATGAAAACGTAGCATTTTCAGCGTAATCATGCTAATAACATTAGGCTCCGCAGCGGAGCTTCGGATTTACGGAACAAATCTCTGATGTCTCCGTAGCGGAGCCAACAGAGCGCTAAGGGTAAACTTACTGTTACGTCTCAGCCCTCCTATATACGATACTAGTTAACCCATACATATACACAGCCACTTATACCCATGGCCAACCCATATTATTATTGTTATACCCTAACCTATATAGACATTATACACACTACATATGTCGATCAATCGTTTGATATAACTAATTTTATTGATTTATACTTATAAGTTTATACTTTTGTCTTGTTTTATATTCCGTTATATTATTGTAATCTTTAATTATGTTATCATTTATTTGACCGGAAAAATATTACGCTTATTATTTCTATCAGGTATTGTATAATGTTCTTAAGGAATTTGTCATACCAATCCTTTATTATGTCTTGAAATAAAAGATAAACCTGAAGCTCCTCGAGACTAGCAGTGCTCGCGAGGTTTCAGGTACAGAATTGGAAGACTCAGGTATGCAACAACAGATAGATAATTGTTAGTACTCTGATTTGTTAAATGATCATTGAGAAAGGGAAGTAAAGACCAATCAAATTCATGAGAAGTAATGAAAGGGATAAGAAACGAAGTCTTTAAAACGGGTTGGAGAGGCTAAAAGTCCGTTCTTGTTCAGTGGTAGAAGTGTGGCGATGTGAAGTACATCAAGAAGTTTTGTAAAAGAAGTGCAAAGTAAAAATCAAAGTTAGAGTCGAAATTTAGAGTTCTAGGAACTTATATTCTCTTCAATTCAGTTCTTTGAAATTCATATAGAAGTGAAGCATACCTGGTGACTCTAATCTGCGAGTTTTGTGAACCATCATCATCATTATCATTTACAAAACCCTGATTACAATCTCGTCTGGACTGAGAGTCCATCCAAACCACCTCATTGAATCTTCATACTTCCAAGGAAAGCAATAAAAGGAAACAGTTGAATTCCCTGGAAATCATTGGATAAGCGTATGAGTCCACTCACATACAATCAGGTACACACAATAATTCATTCATACCCAGAATATCTAACTTACATAAAACGGATAAAGAATACCCGAGCAAAGAATCAA